ATTGGGGTTGGGATTGGGTTGGGATTGGGATTGGGGTTGGGGTTGGGATTGGGATGGGATGGGATGGGATTGGGACTGAGGTTCTGAATCCAGAATTGGGATGGGATTGGGATTTGGATTGAGATTGAGATGGGATTTGGATTGGGGTTGGGATTGGGATTGGGATGGGATTGGGATCGAGCAGGAATGAGATGGGATGGGATTGAGATTGAGATCAGGATTGGGATCAGGATGGAGATTGGGATCGGGATTGGGATTGGGATGGGGATTGGGGTTGGGATTGGGATTGGGATTGGGATTGGGATTGGGGTTGGGATTGGGATTGGGATTGGGATGGGATGGAGAGGGATTGGGATGGGATGTGATGGAGAGGGATTTGGATTGGATTGGGGTCGGGATTGGGTTTGGGATTGGATGGGATTGGGATTGGAATTGGGATGGGATTGGGATTGGAATTGGGATGGAATTGGGGTCGGGATTGGGTTTGGGATTGGGATTGGGATGGAATTGGGGTTGGGATTGGGTTGGGATTGGGATTGGGGTTGGGGTTGGGATTGGGATGGGATGGGATGGGATTGGGACTGAGGTTCTGAATCCAGAATTGGGATGGGATTGGGATTTGGATTGAGATTGAGATGGGATTTGGATTGGGGTTGGTATTGGGATTGGGATAGAGCAGGATTGGGATGGGATGGAGCAGGATTGAGATCGGGATTGGGATCAGGATGGGGATTGGGATCGGGATTGGAAGGCCCTGGAGAAGGAGCAGTGGGAGAAGGGCCGCAGACGGGACAGCGGGAAGATGGGAATGGGACAGAGGCAGTGCGGATGGAGATGGGATGTGGGAATTTGGGATGCTCCCGCTGCCTTTCCTCCTTCCCCAAATCCAGGGAATTCACCCCCAGCTCCGCCGTCTCCATTTTGTTTTCCCTTCTCCGGGTCTTTTTCCTGAGGAGCTTCCCGAGGAAATGGCGGGAATCCATGGAAACCACCCGCTCCCATCGGAATCCGGGCAGGAAAAAAGCAGGAAAATGAGCCCTTCCCTTTCCCCACGGAATCGCCTGAAATCCCAAGGATTCGCCTGGATTCGGGAAAAAATCCGTGCGGGATTAACTCCAGATAAAAACTCCGAATTCCCTCCACTTCCCACATCCGCACAGCATTCCCAGAGCTGGGAATTCATGGAAAAGCCCCTCAGAGGGATAAAACCATGGGAAAAAGGCTGGAGGAGCTGGGATGCTCCCGGGGATGTTCCCATTCCACATGGAGGGGATGGAACCCCTCGGTCCGGCCAAATCCCGTGGGATTTTCCCATTCCAGGAGCCGGGATAATCATCTCTGTTCCCAGCAGGGATTCCCAGATCCCTGAAAACCCCAGGAAAAAACCCCGGAACAGTCGAATTCCTTATAGGACAAGGAGATCCCTTCTCCCCAAAGCCTTCCCGGCTTGGATCCGCGACAGAGAGCGGCGGGAAAAATTCGGGATTTGGGAACAAGAAGCAGACGGGGAGAGTTTATTAATTTTTATTAAAGATAAAAACCCGAAGCGTTACAAACAAACATTCTTTTTATCCCTGCTTTTTTTTCCCCCCCTTTTCGGGAAAAACACCCGGAAAAGCACCCGGAAAAGCCGGAGGAGCACCCGGAGAACACCACCGGGAAGCGGGAGGCTCCTAAACCAGGATTTCCTCCCGGACGTGGACCTGGAGCGGGCAAATCCGGAGCGACTTGGCCTTGGCGCCGCCCTGGGGCCCTCCCACGTAGAAATAGGGGAAGACGACGCCGCCGAATTTCTCATGGAATGTGTAGATGTGGCTGCGGAGCTCGGCGTCGTAGAAGGACAACTCCCCCTCGGTGCAGTCCAGCTCCACCCGGATCCGCCGGATGTTTCCTGGCGCCGCCTCCGAGCGCACGGCGTTGGACGCCCGGCACTCGTCTTTCCCGGGAATGTGGTAGATGTACCAGAATCCGGAGCGGGAATCGTGGTGGAAGGCCCAGTGGGAGCCGTGGTGGGGCCGGGACACACCCACCCTCCAGTTGGTCAGCCCGCCCAGGTCCACCTCCCAGGTGTGGAAGCCCTCGGAGAAGCCACAGGATCCCAGGATGCAGGGGGTGGAGGTGAAGCGCTCCGGGTTTTCCACGGAGAGGGTGTAGCCGCGGTTGGAGACGCTGGAGAGGTCCTCGGACACCGAGAGCCAGCCGGCGGCCGAGTTGGGATCCAGGCTGAACGGGACTGGCCAGGAAAGGGGGAGGTTTTACGGGAAGCAGCTGGGCGGGGATCCAGCCATCCCTCTGTGGGGCCCTCCATGGATCCAGCCATGGATCTGTTCCAGGGATCCGTCCATCCGTGGATTCATCCATTCAGCCAGCCCTGGATCCAGCCATGGATCCATCCCTCCATCATTCCATGGATCCTTCCATTGATCATCCATCCATCCATCCATTGATCCATCCATTGATCCATCCATCCATCATCCATCCATCATCCATCCATCCATCATCCATCCATCCATCATCCATCCATCCATCATCCATCCATCATCCATCGATCCATCCATTGATCCATCCATCCATCATCCATCCATCATCCATCATCCATCCATCCATCATCCATCCATCATCCATCCATCCATCATCCATCCATCATCCATCATCCATCCATCATCCATCCATCCATCATCCATCCATCATCCATCCATCATCCATCCATCCATCCATCCATCCATCATCCATCATCCATCCATCCATCCTTCCATCCATCCATCCTTCCATCCATCATCCATCCATCATCCATCCATCATCCATCCATCCATCATCCATCCCTCCATCCCTCCACAGATCCATGGATTCCACCCCTATCCATGGATTCCTCCCTAACCCACACCACCCCTGGCAAACACCGGCCATTCCCAGGTTTCCCTCCCATGTCCAAATCCCCAACCCTCGATCCAGGCCCATCCCAGCTCCACATTCCCCATTTTCCCAGACCCCAAAAACCACCCTTTTTTAGGGAAGAACCCATCTCCGCTTCTCCCATCTTCCCACCCTTGGGAATTCCCACTCCGGCCATTCCCGGCTCCTCACCCACGGTGATGGTGGCCAACATCTTCTTCCACACTTTGTACTGGAGCGATCCCAGGTACTTGGCCACGTCCAGGAGCATTCCCAAGGGAACGGCTTCCGGCTCCTCGGCCGTGCAGGCGATCCTAGGGATTGACCGTGGGGAAACCATCGGGGTGAGGCTCCTGAATCCAGCGGGAGATTCCCAAGCTCATCCTCCCTCGATTCCCGCAAAATCTGGGATTTGATGATTCCCACAAACCCGGAAATTCCGCTTCCCACGGAGCACCCGGGGGAACATCCAGCACCTCCCGGACTCGGAGGAGACTCCAGAATTTTCTTGGAGCTGGGATCACATTCCAGCCAGCCAGGAGAGCCCATCCAGCCCTCGGGAAGGGTTCAGCCATTCCCAGATTCCCACGGATATTCCCGGGATCGGGACCTACCTCCGCTTGCGGTTCTTGTGGGTCTGGAAAAGAAAAGACACCGGGAATCAGATCCCAGCTGCCGGAATTCCAGCCACCGACGGATCAGGTGGGGGAGGTGGGGATCCGGGCCCGGAGCGGAATTCCCGGTGGGAATTACCTTCAGGAATGTGTAGTCGTCTTCCTTGAGATCGGTCTGGATCTGCCCGGCCTCCTTGAGCAGGGCCTGGCTCTCCTCCAGCAGCTGCTCCATCTTTCCCTGGATCAGATCCTGCTTCCGCCGCGTCTCCTCCCGCAGCTGCGCCAGCAGCGCCTGCTCCTCATCCCGCAGGAATTTGTGCAGCTTCTCGAATTCCCACTTCACCTGCCGCTCCAGCCGCGCCGATTCCGCCTGGGAATGGCGGCACCTCGCTCCAGCTGGGAATGCTGGAACTTCCCCACCCCCTCCCTGGAGCGCCAAAATTCCCCGGGGTCCCCGGCCGGGCAGCTCCGGAGGTTCCTTGGGATCACTGGGGGATTCCCAAATTCCCATCCCAGCTTCCCAAGTCCCCACCGCTCTCCTTTCCCGGGATAGGATCGGGGCTTCACTCCAGCTGCATTCCCAATCGGGATCAGGATCAATCCTGAATCAATTCCTAAATTCCCATCCCCGCTTCCCGAATCCCCACCGCTCTCCTTTCCTAGGATGGGATCAGGGCTTCACTCTCAGGATCGGGATCAATCCCACCCCTGGAGATCCCAAATTCCCCATGACTCCTTCCCAGAGCTCAATTCCTTGGGATCACTGAGATCTTCCCAAATTCCCGTCCCCGCTTCCCAAATCCCCACCGCTCTCCTTTCCCAGGATGGGATCAGGGCTCCACCTCAGTGCATGTGCAGGATTGGGATTGGGATTGGGCTCAATCCCAGCTCTGGAAATCCCAAATTCCCCTGGACTCCTCCTTCCCAGTGCTCAGGAATTCCCTGGGGTCACTGGGATCTCTGGAATCTTCCCAAATTCCCATCCCTGCTTCCCAAATCCCCACCGCTCTCCTTTCCCGGGATGGGATCAGAGCTCTGCCCCAGTGCACGTGCAGGAACAGGATCGGGATTGGGACTGGGATTAATCCCAAATCTGGAGATCCCAAATTCCCCTGGACTCCCCCTTCCCAGAGCTCAGTGATTCCCTGGGATCACTCACCGGGATCCTCCCAAACTCCTGTCCCCACTTCCCAAATCCCCACCACTTTCCTTTCCTGGGATGGGATCAGTGCTCCACCCCAGCGCATGTGCAGGATTGGGATTGGGATTGGGATTGGGATTGGGCTCAATCCCACCTCTGGAGATCCCAAATTCCCTGGACTCCCCCTTCCCACAGCTCAGCAATTCCCTGGGATGACTGGGATCAACGCTGCTCTTCCCAAATTCCCATCCCAGCTTCCCAAATCCTCACCGCTCTCCTTCCCCGGGATGGGATCGGGGCTTCACTCTCAGGATTGGGATCAATCCCAACTCTGGAGATCCCAAATTTCCTGGACTCCCCCTTCCCAGAGCTCAGGGGTTCCATAGGATCACCAGGATCTTCCCAAATTCCTGTCCCCGCTTCCCAACTCCCCACCACTCTCCTTTCCCGGGATGGGGATCACTCCCAGCTCCGGGCGGATCACGCACCTCGTTGTGCCGGGAGATGGATTCGTAGGAGCGGCGCACGCTCCCGAAATCCTTGGCCTTATCCCGCAGGGAAGATTCCATGTTCGCCAGCTTGGCCTGCGGGGAGGAGATGCCCTCAGGATTCCCCCATTCCCGGGATTTTCCCGTGCGGATGAACGCCCCCGGAGCCGGATCCCGGCTCCATCCGACCCTTCCCCTCGGGCAGCCGGGATCCGAGCTGGGAGAGGAGCTTTGCTCCATAGGGAATCCTCCTCCCTCTGGTTTTATTGGGATATCCCATCCCTGCCTGTCCCGGTGCTGTGGGGAGCCTCGTTCCCATTCCCATTCCCATTCTCCCATTCCCATTCCCATTTTCCCATTCCTATTCCCATTCCCATTTTCCCATTCCCATTACCATTTTCCCATTCCCAGCCCCACTCCTGATCCTTTTTCTGATTCCCATTCCCAATCCTATTCCTATTCCCATTCCCATTTTCCCATTCCCAATTCCTTTCCCATTTTCCTGATTCCCATTCCCATTCCTGATCCTTTTCCCGATTCCCATTCCTGATCCCATTCCCATTCCCATTTTCCCATGCCCTTTTTCCCCATTTTCCCATTTTCCCACTCCCAATTCCTTTCCCATTTTCCTGATTCCCATTCCCATTCCTGATCCTTTTCCTGATTCCCATTCCTGATCCCATTCCCATTCCCATTCCCATTTTCCCATTCCCATTTTCCCATTTTCCTGATTCCCAGCCCCACTCCTGATCCTTTTCCTGATTCCCATTCCCGATCCCATTCCCATTGCCATTTTCCCATTTTCCCATTCCCATTTTTTTTCCATTCCCATTTTTTTCCCATTTTCCCCATTTTTTCCCCACTCCCATTCCCACCGGCCGAGCTTTTCCCGCCACGTTTGGAATCCAGCGGGATGAGTCAGGGCGGCGCTGGCCGTTCTCCAGCGTGTCCTGGCGCCATTCCCAGCTCCCGGCTGATTCCCGTCTCCTCCTCCTCCCCCAGCCACATCCCGTCCCTCCTTCCTGCTGGAATTCTGCAACTCCCAAATCCCGAATTTATATCCCTGGAATAACCAGCGTGGCCGGATCTGGGGCGCCGAGCCGGGAATCGTCGTTATCCCAGGGGTTTTTTTCTTTTCCCGCAGGATAATTAGCCGGGATAATTAAAGGGAGGGAGAGCATCCAGCAGCCGCCACATTCCCGCAGGGAAGCGTGGCTGTCTCATCCCAAATCCCAGCCTGGAAAAATCTGGGATGTCTGCAGCTTTTTGGGATGTCCATGGATTCATCCACAGATCCATCCCCAGATCCATCCACAGATCCATCCATCCATAGATCCATCCATGGATAAATCCATGGATAAATCCATGGATAAGTCCATGGATCCATCCCCAGATCCATCCCCAGATCCATCCCTGGATCCATCCATCCATGGATAAATCCATGGATAAGTCCACAGATCCATCCCCAGATCCATCCCAAGATCTATCCTGAGATCCATCCCCGGATCCATCCCCAGATCCATACATGGATTCCTGGATCCATCCCTGGATCCATCCATGGATTCATGGATCCATCCCCGGATCCCTCCACAGATCCATTCCCAGATCCATCCACAGATCCATGGATCCATCCATAGATCTATCCACGGATCCATCCCTGGATCCATCCACGGATCCATCCCTGGATCCATCCCCAGATCCATCCATGGATTCCTGGATCCATCCCCAGATCCATTCCCGGATCCATCCCCAGATCCATCCTTGGCTCCATTCCCAGATTCATCCCCGGATCCATCCATGGATCCATCCACAGATCCACAGATCCATCCCCGGCTCCATCCCCGGATCCATCCCCAGATTCATCCCCAGATCCATCCATGGATTCCTGGATCCATCCCCGGCTCCATCCCTGGCTCCATCCCTGGCTCCATCCCCGGATCCATCCCCAGATCCATCCCTGGATCCATCCATGGGTTCATGGATCCATCCCCAGATCCATCCCCGGATCCATCCCCAGATTAATCCCCGGATCCATCCATGGATCCATCCACAGATCCACCCCCATTTCCCCACACCCCCCCTCACCCTAAAATCCGCCGCCGCTTCCCGCACCGGCCTCATCTTGTGCCCCTGGTGCTGCTTGGAATTCTGGCAGGCGAAACACACCAGCTCCTTGTCTTCCAGGCAAAAAAACTTGGGATCCTCCCCATGGACGGGGCAGGGAGCGGCGCCCGGGCTCTGCCGCTGCCCTTCCTCCTTGAGGATCAGCTCCACCAGGTTGTTGAGGGTGTAGTTGAGGCGGAGATCCTCCAGCGAGGAGTTTTCCTTGCAGACGGGGCAGGCGTGGTGCCCGTTTTCCCAGGATTTGCTGACGCAGCCCTTGCAGAAGTTGTGGCCGCAGCAAAGGGTGACGGCTTCCCGGAAAGGTTCGTAGCAGATGGGGCACAGCAGTTCCTCCTTCAGCTTGGGTCTGGAGCTGCCGCTGGAGCTCCTGGAGCCGCTGGAGCTGCTGGAGCTGGGTTTTTCCATGATTTCCGCTCCTTCCTGCGCGCTGCGGGACGGGATTTTCCAGCTCTGCCGCTTCTGATGCAACCGCGCTGGGTTTCCTGCCCGTGACTCAGCCGTGCCCGTTCCCCCCCGCCCGGTGACGCCGCCCCGGGGCCGCGGCCGGGGGGGCTCCGGGCAGCGGCCACAAAACCGCCCGGGACCCCCCTCCGGCCCAGCCCCGGTCCGGTACCGAGAGAGCGGACANCGGGAGAGCCGGGAATATCCACGGATGGGAAAGTCTGGGAATGGGCTGGAGGAATCCTGGAGGTGCTGAGACCTTTCGGGATGGATCCAGAGCCGGGAATCTGGGAATCCTGGAATGTTCTGGGTGGGAAGGAACCTCAACGCTCAGCAGGGACACCGCCCGTGATCCCGAAACTTGGATATTCCCAGGGATCTGGGGATTCTCTGGGAATTCCAGCCCAGCCGGGAATCCCTTCCCGAGATCCCAAAATCCCAAAATCCCGACCCTGGGGCAGTGGGAGCCGTTCCCTGTCCCGGCATTCCGGGCCCTTTTCCCAAATCCTCCTCTGGCTCTCCTGGATTGGATCCAGCCCCATCCCGACTCCTCACGGGGAAGGAATTTCGGGATCCAGGGGCTTCACTGGGAATTGGGAACTCCAGGAAGGGTTTCCTTTCCCTTTTCCATCCCCAAATTCCATAAAAATCCCTCGGGATGGATCCTGAGTGTCCTCGATCCCAGAATCCCGGAATGGTTTGGGATGGGATCCCTGGATCTTCACTCCCATCCCATTCCAACCCCGGGCTGCTCCAGGCTTTCCTTGGGGATTGATCCCAGGGATTCTCTGGGAATTCCTTCCCGAGCTCCCAGCTCCCCTTTCCCAGTGGGAAGCCATTCCCTGGCTCCTGGCCCTGCGGCCCTTTCCCAAATCCCAGCTCTCCCGCAGCCCCTGGAGCCTCGGGAAGCGGCTCCCAGGATTCCCGGGATCCCTTTTCCCGATCCGGCCGCGCATTCCCGGTGCTGAGATCCCGGGAGATCCGATCCCAGCTCACCTCCAGGAGGGATCGGAGCTGCTGGACGCTGTTCCTGTGTCCCACCACCTCCCGCAGGGGCCTCAGGAGTTTGTTTTCCAACAGGAATTCCTTGGGAGGGAAAAAAAAAAAAAAAAAAAAAAAAAGCCGGGAAGAGCCGCACTGAGCATTCCCAGCCCTGATTCCAAAGGGATTCCCGAAAAAAAAAACAAACCCCGGATGGGGCTGGCTCCCGGATCCCGAGCTCACCGACTCCTCGCTCAGGAGCTCCAGCATTTTCCGGAGGGTTTTCCTGGGAATGTTGGGCTGGCTGGTGACTCTTGGCTCCGAGTTTTCCTGCTTTTCCTTCCTCCCCTCTCCGCCTTTCTTCCTGCTCCTCCTCCCTTCCCGCTCCCTTTTCCCGGATTTGATCCCTGAAAACCCACGGGAAGGAGACAAAAAAAAACCCCAAAAAAACCACCTTTGGATCCCTGGAAAATTCCGGAAGGAGGCTGGAAAATCCCACCCGGAAATCCCAAGGATGGCTTGGGACAGGGGAGGTGAATCCCGAGGAATTTTTTGGGGGGGGATTTTCCCAACCTTCCAGCAGTTCCGTGGCCACCTGCAGGGCGTCCCGCTTTTCCCGGCGGCCTCCCAGGGGTCCCACGTTCTCCAGGAGTCCCAGCCGCGGCTCTTCCCAGGGAATTCCCAGCTGCTGGACGTGGATGATCCGATCGGCGTCCAGCGCTTGCCGGATCAGCGCCTTGGCCTCCTCCTCGTTGACGATCCAAACCTGCCGGAACCGCTCGGCGCTGCTCTGCGCCAGCTGCCTGCGGGAAAAACCGTTCCCAAAGCGATCCCCCGGGATTCCCGGATTTCTGGTGCTCTGGAGGATCCCCAGAGGGATCCCCTGGGATTCCCGGATTGAGGATCCCCGAAGGGATTCCGTGATTCCCGGATTCCTGATGCTCCGGAGGATCCCCGAAGGGATTCCGTGATTCCTGGATTCCTGATGCTTCGGAGGATTCCTGAAGGGATTCCATGATTCCCGGATTTCTGGTGCTCTGGAGGATCCCCAGAGGGATCCCCTGGGATTCCCGGATTGAGGATCCCCCGAAGGGATTCCATGATTCCCGGATTCCTGATGCTCCGGAGGATCCCTGAAGGGTTTCCATGATTCCCAGATTGAGGATCCCCAAAGGGATCCCGTGGTTCCCGGATTCTGCTCTGGAGGATCTCCAAAGGGATCCCGTGATTCCCGGATTGAGGCTCTCCGGAGGATCCCTGAAGGGATTCTCAGATTCCTGGTGCACCATAGGATCCCCGAAGGGATTCCGTGATTCCCGGATTCCCGGTGTTCCGGAGGATCCCCAAAGGGATTCCCGGATTCCTGGACTGAGGATCCCCGAAGGGATTCCATGGTTCCTGGATTCCCGGGGCTCCAGAGGATCCCCAAAGGGATTCTGTGATTCCCAGATTGAGGATCCATGGAGGGATTCTGTGATTCCTGGATTCCTGGCACTCTGGAGGATCCCTGAAGGGATTCTCAGATTCCCAGTGCTCCATAGGATTCCCAAAGGGATCCCATGATTCCCAGATTCCCAATGCTCTGGAGGATCCCCAAAGGGATTCCCAGATTCCTGCCCCGGAGGATCCCCAAAGGGATTCTGTGATTCCCGGATTCTGCTCCGGAGGATCCCTGAAGGGATTCCCAGATTGAGGATCCCCAAAGGGATCCCCTGTGATTCCCGGATTCCCGGCATTTGCTCCAGAGGATCCCCGAAGGGATTCCCGAATTCCCAGATTGAGGATCAACGGAGGGATCCCAAAGGGATTCCTGGATTCCCGGCGCTCCAGAGGATCCTTGGAGGGATTCCGTGATTCCGTGACTGAGGATCCCCGAAGGGATTCCCAGATTCCCACTCCAGAGGATCTCCAAAGGGATTCCATAATTCCCAGATTTCCGCTCCGGAGGGTCCCCTAAGGGATTCCGTGATTCCCGGATTCCCGTCACTCCAGAGGATCCCCGAAGGGATTCCTGGATTCCCAGACTGAGGATCCCCAAAGGGATTCCGTGATTCCTGGATTCCTGGCTCTCTGATTCCCAGATGTGGATCCCTGAAGGGATTCCATGATTCCCAGATTCCTGCTCCGGAGGATCCCCAAAGGGATTCCGTGATTCCTGGATTCCCGGATCCTGCTCTGGAGGATCCCCAAAGGGATTCCCGGATTCCCGGCGCTCCAGAGGATCCGCGGGACGCCATTCCAAGAGTTTCCCACCTCATCCGGCTCCGCGTCTCCTGGAACTGCCCCGTGATCCGCTGCAGCTCCCATTCCAGGCTCCGCTTTTCCTCCTGGAATTTCTCCTCCTGCCGGGCCATCCTCTCCCTCAGGAGGCTGAGGCACGTCTGGAACCTGGGGCGGATTTGGGACGGAAATCCGGGATTTGGGAATGCCCCGAGAACCCCTGGGAACGGGGAGGAGATTCCCGGGATGGGTTTTACCGGGTGATTTTCCGCTTCTGCAGGGATCGGAGCGTGGAATTTTCCAGGTCCAGCTGCCGGAGCACGTCCAGGTTGTATTCCAGCTTCACCTGGTTCAGGTGGAACATTCCCTTCATCTGCCGCAGCTTCTTCTCCAGGTACTGGAAAAGAAAAAAACAACAAGCCCGGAATTTAGGGAAAATCCCGGAATTTTTGGATTTGGATTCCTCAGGATTTTTTTAAAAATAAATAAAAAAAGCTGGGATTAAATCCTGGCAGGGCCAAGAGGTTTTTTTTTTCCCTTTTCCAGAGGATCCAGGGGTGAATTCCCAAAATCCCACCTCGGGCAGCAATCAAATTAAATCAAATTAAACAAAATTAATCCAATTAATCCAATTAATGAAATTAATCCACCATCAGTTTAATTCCAGCCTCTCCCAGCTTGGAATTCCCTCCCTAAATCCCGGTTCCGGCTTCCGAGTGTTTTCCTTTCCCACCTGTGGTGGGCACAGGGAATTCCCGCTCCTCCTCCCTATGGAATTTCGGGGTTTTTGGGATGAATTTTGGGATGTTTCACATTTATTTTGGGGGGGAAAAAAATATTCTTAAAATCCCATGGAAAGCTTTCCCTGGGATGGTTTTTCCTTCCCAAACCCTGGAATTTGGAGAGGGAAAATTCTCCCCGGATCTCCTCCCCCTTCCACGGCTCAAGGTTGTTTTCCCGACGTTTCCCTGGGAATGCTGAGCTCCCTCCCAAAACAGCTCCGGGGCGCTGGGAACATCCCACGCTTCCAACTTATCGGGAATTGAGGGTGTGGAGCTGCTGGAGCGAATCCAGGGAATGCCATGGAGCGGCTCCCGGGGCTGGGAGAGCCGGGAATGTGCGGCCGGATCAGGGAAGGATCCCGGGAATCCTGGGAGCCGCTTCCCGAGGCTCCAGGGGCTGTGGGAGAGCTGGGATTTGGGAAAGGGCCGCAGGGCCAGGAGCCAGGGAATGGCTTCCCACTGGGAAAGGGGAGCTGGGAGCTCGGGAAGGAATTCCCAGAGAATCCCTGGGAGCTCCCAGGAAAGGCCGGAGCAGCCTGGGATGGTGGGGTTGGAATGGGATGGGATTTAAAATCCCTGGATCCCATCCCGAACCATTCTGGGATTCTGGGATCGAGGACACTCAGGATCCATCCCGAGGGATTTTTATGGAATTCAGGAATGGGAAAGGGAAGGAAGACCCTTCCTGGAGTTGGGAATTCCCAGTGAAGCCCCTGGATCCCGAAATTCCTTCTCCAGGAGGAATCGGGATGGGGCTGGATCCAATCCCAGGGAGCTGGAGGGGGATTTGGGAAAAGGGCCCAGAATGCCGGGACAGGGAACGGCTCCCACTGCCCCAGGGTCGGGATTTTGGGATCTTGGGAAGGGATTCCCGGCTGGGCTGGAATTCCCAGAGAATCCCTGGGAGCTCCCAAGGAAAGGCGGGATCACCCCGGGATGGCGGGGTTGGAACGGGAAGGGATTGAAGATCCACAGATCCCATCCCAAACCACCCGGGAATTCCCCCTTGGAATTCCTCAGCGCATTCCTGGGAAGGCCCTGCCCATCCCCCTCCTCCGACAGCGGGATTTTTCCTGCTGGGATTTTCCCGAAGCCCTTCCAGCCCCTGGCATTCCCTGACCCTCCCCGGGATCCTTCCTGGCCGCTCCCATCCCGCTTTTCCACCAGCCGCATTCCCGGGATTTGGGAAGCCCGAATCCGCGCTCCCGCTGCCTTTGGAGCAGCTCCCGGCTGGAGCAGGATGGGAATTCCCCGCTCCACGGGAATTCCCCGCGGGAATCTCCTCCGGGAAGCGGCTGCCGGCAATTCCGGGAATTTGGGGGTGTCTCCGGCAGGAATTTCCCTGGAGCTGGAATTCCCGGAGAAGCTGTGGCTGTCCCTGGATCCCTGGGAGCATCCAAGGAAAGGTTGGAGCAGCCTGGGATGTTGGAATGGGATGGGATGTGAGGTCTCTTCCCAGCCGAGTCATTCCAGGATTCCTGGGGGTGATTCTGGGGTTTTTCCCGGCACCTGCACGTCCTGTTCCAGCTGGAATTTCATGCGGTCGTAGCTCTCCACGCTCTCGGCCTGCAGCTCGTTCAGCTGCTGCTCAAACTCCCGCGCCTGCTCCATCCGATGCCGCAGGAATTCCAGCTGCGGGAGCACCCGGAGCCTCAGCCTTGGATATCCAACCTCCTCCAAACTCATCCAATCCCATCCAATCCCATCCAAACACATCCAACCTCATCCCATCTCATCCCACCTCATCCAACCTCATCCAATCCCATCCAACCCCATCCAATCCCATCCAACCTCCTCCAAACTCATCCAATCCCATCCAATCCCATCCAAACACATCCAACCTCTTCCAAACACATCCAAACACATCCAAACACATCCAACCTCATCCCATCCCATCCAACCTCATCCAATCCCAGCCAATCCCGTCCAAGCTCATCCAATCCCATCCAACCTCATCCCATCTCATCCCACCTCATCCAACCCCATCCAACCCCATCCAATCCCATCCAACCCCATCCAATCCCAGCCAATCCCATCCAACCTCATCCAATCCCAGCCAATCCCGTCCAAGCTCATCCAATCCCATCCAATCCCATCCAACCTCATCCAACCCCATCCAATCCCAGCCCACATCATCCATCCCCATCCAACCTCATCCCACCTCATCCAGTGTCATCCAACAGAATCCAACTGAGTCCAAACCCATCCCATTCCACCTCATCCCACTATATCCAACCCCATCCAACCCCAACCAAACCCATCCCACCTCATCCAATGTCATCCAATGTCATCCAACCGAATCCAATGTCATCCAACCTCTTCCAATCCCATCCAACCTCATCCAAACCCATCCAACCTCTTCCAAACCTCATCTGGTCTCATCCAACCGCATCCAAACCCATCCAATCCCAGCCCATCCCACCTTATCTCACCTCACCAACCTCATCCAACCAAATCCCACCTCATCCAATGTCATCCAACCCCATCCCACCTCATCCAACCCCATCCCACCTCATTCCGACTCATCCAAACCCAACCCATCTCATCCCACCCCATCCAACCTCATCCAACCCCATCCCACCTCATCCAATCTCATCCAACAGAATCCAACTGCATCCAAACCCATCCAATCCCATCCAATCCCACCTTATCCCATCTCATCCAAACCCATCCAACCCCGTCCAACCCCATCCCACCTCATCCAACAGAATCCAACTGCATCCAACCTCATCCAATCCCAGCCCATCCCACCTTATCCCATCTCATCCAAACCCATCCAATGTCATCCAACCTCTTCCAAACACATCCAACCTCATCCCATCTCATCCAACCCCATCCAAACCCATCCCATCTCATCCCACCCCATCCCAACTCATCCAACCCCATCCCACCTTTTCCAAACCCATCCAATCCCATCCAACCTCATCCAAACCCATCATCCCATCTCATCCCAGCCCATCCAACCTCACCCAACCTCATTCCACCTCATTCCACCTTTTCCAATCCCATCCCATCCCATCCCATCCCAACCCTCCCCATCCCGTTCCCACACTAATCCCAGGAATTCCAGCTCCCTCCCGTCACCCCGCAGGGCAGAGCCGATCCCGACATTCCAAGCCGATCCCGGCATTCCAAGCCGATCCCGACATTCCAAGCCGATCCCGGCATTCCAAGCCGGGCCCGGGCAGGGAAGGGGTTGGGAATGGGGCTGGAGCTGGGAAAAGAGCTCAGTCTGGAGAAAAGGAGGCTCCAGAGGGATCTTTCCCCCTCTGGAATTCCCGGAAAAGCCAGGACAACAGGGAAAGTGCCAGGGGAGGTTTTCTTGGATATCGGGAACAATTCCCAACATCCAGGGGTTTTCCAGCCGGGGCACGGTGGAGCCCCCATTCCCAATGGGATTGGAATCCACGTGGATTTGACCCTTTGGAGATGGGAACGGTCGGACTGGGCGATCCCAGAGGGTTTTTCCGGCCCCAGCGATTCCCAAAATTCCCGTGGGATTCACCTCCTGCTCGTTGTGGGCCCGGATGGCCTCGTTCCACCTTTTCCGGTTGTTGGCCAGCATTTCCCGGCGCTCCTCCTCAAAGGTTTTCTGCGGGAGAGAGGGAAATTCCAGCCTGGGATCCCGGGAAAACGGCAACAGCAGCTCCCAGAGTCATTCCAGAGTCATTCCCAACCCCTCGGAGCTCCGCATTCCCGCCTCATCCAGACGGATTTCATCCCAGCACCGCAATTCCGAGGATTTTTGGGATTTTTTTTTTCTTTTTCCCCATAAAGATCGGGAGAAGCGGAGAGGGGGCTTTTCCCGCTTTTCCCGGTTTTCCCGGGAATTGGTCACCTCAATCTGCCGGAGGTGGTGCCGGTAGGTCCTGAGCATGTTCCGGGTCTGCTCTTCCATCCTCTCCAGGAGCAGCCGGATCTCCTCCGCCTGCTCCTTCAGGGCCTGCTCGTACTGCTCATCCCTGGCCTGCAGCTCCTGGGAAAAACAGGGAATGGCAGCCTGGAATCAGCCGGAATTCAGCGGGAATCCTCAGGGAAAGGGCAGGACACGGAATGATCCTGGAGTGGTTGGGAGGAGACCTCAAGGATCGGCCCAGTCCAATCCTAATCCCGATCCCAGGGTGATCCGGCCTTTCCTGGGGATTCATCCCAGGGATTCTCTGGGAATTCCTTCCCAAGCTCCCAGCTCCCCTTTCCCAGTGGGAAGCCATTCCCTGGCTCCTGGCCCTGCGGCCCTTTCCCAAATCCCAGCTCTCCCGCAGCCCCGGGAGCCTCGGGAAGCGGCTCCCAGGATTCCCGGGATCCTTCCCTGATCCGGCTGCACATTCCCGGCTCTCCCAGCCCGGGATTGGATCCAGCCCCATCCCGACTCCTCCTTGAGAAGGAATTTCAGGAATTCCCTGGAAATCTCGGGACTCCAGGAAGGGTCTCCCTTCTGTTTTCCATCCCAGAATCCCATAAAAATCCCTTGGGATGGATCCTGTGGATCCTGAGCGTCCTCGATCCCAGAATCCCCAACACCTCCCACCAATCCCAGGGTGATCCGGCCTTTCCTTGGATGTTCCCAGGGATTCTCTGGGAATTCCTTCCCAAGCTCCCAGCTCCCCTTTCCCAGTGGGAAGCCATTCCCTGGCTCCTGGCCCTGCGGCCCTTTCCCAAATCCCAGCTCTCCCGCAGCCCCTGGAGCCTTAGGAAGCGGCTCCCAGGATTCCCGGGATCCTTCCCTGATCCGGCTGCACATTCCGGCTCTCCCAGCCCCGGGAGCCGCTCCGGCTGTTCCCGGGTACCTGCCGGAGCTCTTGGATCAGCTGGTTCTTCTCGGCCAGGAGCTGCTGGCACTGCTCCTGCTGCTGCTCCAGCAATTCCCACAATTCCTGCGGCACCTTCAGCTCCTCGGCCGAGCCCCACCTGGAGTTGATCTCCGCCAACTTTTCCGCGCCGCGCTTGGCCTCCGTCTCCAGCTTTTCCAGCCTGCGGGAAGCCAGGGAATGGCAGAGCTGGGATAGGGCTGGAGTTGCTCCATGCCTGGGGTGTTTCCGTTCCCTAAATCCCTTCCCGGAATCCTTTCCAGTCCCTAAATCCCTTCCCGGAATACCTTCCCTAAATCCCCTCCATTCCCTAAATCCCTTCCTGCAATCCCTTTTCTTCCCTGAATCCGTTATGTAAATCCTTTCCCTAAATACTTTCCCTAAATTCCTTCCCTTCCATAAATTCGCTCCTTAAATCCCTTCCCTAAATCCCTTCCCTAAATCCCTTTCCTTCCCTGAATTCTTTCCCTGAATCTGTTCCCTGAATCCCTTCCCTAAATTCCTTCTCCTTCCCTAAATCCCTTCCCGGAATCCCTTCCTGAAATCCCAAATTCCCTCCCGTAAATCCATTTCCTTCCCTAAATCCCTTCCCTAAATCCCTTCATCCCTTCCCTAAATCCCTTCCATTCCCTAAATTTCTTTTCTTCCCAGAATCCCTTCCCTGAATCCGTTTCTTTCCCTGAATCCCTTCCCTAAATCCCTTCTCCTTCCCTAAATCCCTTCCCTGAATCCCTTCCCTAAATTCCTTCTTTCCTTGAACCCTTTCCCTAAATCCCTTCCCAACACCCCTTCCCTACATCCCTTTCCTTCCCAGCATCCGTTCCCGAAATCCTTTCCCTAAATTCCTTCCCTTCCATAAATTCCTTCCCGGAATCCCTTCCTTAAATCCCTTCCCTAAATCCCTTTCCTTCCCTAAATCCCTTCCCTGAATCCCTTCCCTAAATTCCTTCTTTCCTTGAACCCTTTCCCTAAATCCCTTCCCTAAATCCCTGAATCCCTTCCCTAAATCCCAGAATCCCTTCCCTGAATCCCTTCTGTTCCCTAAATTTCTTTTCTTCCCAGAATCCCTTCCCTGAATCCTTTCCCTAAATCCCTTCTCCTTCCCGAAATCCCTTCCCGGAATCCCAAAATCCCTTCCCTAAACCCCCTCCCTGAATCCCTTCCCTAAATTCCTTCTCCTTTCCTTGAATCCTTTCCCTAAATTCTTTCCCTTCCCTAAATCCC